ATATGTTGCAAAGTCTTCAATAGCATGCTCTTACTTCGTTTTTCCCTTATTAATAAGTCATCAAATTTGGTGCTTTTTGATCCACAGATGCTATGGGATCAAATGACGAATTACAATCGATTCCTCCATTTAAGTGGTTCTCGCTTCTCCTTGTTCCAGTTCCAAACTCTTCCCCAGGTAGTTCCCAATGTTTGGCACTTCCCATACTTTATGGGTGAAACATCAACATTCCCATATTTGGGGTTAACCAAGGAGGTTCATTACATGAGTTTTATATTGAAATTTGGATTCAATTTGAGTGCTACTTGCCTGGACCCTATTTAGTGGGACAGTGAGAAAGGGCCTCAACTTCTCACAAACACACAAGAACAATCATCTATCCAGAAGCCCATAAATCCTAATCAATCAATTACACAAGAAAGGACTTTCATCATTTAAAATTTCCCAAAAGGACATTAATCAATGGCAGGATCATAGTAAAAAAAGCTTTATTTACTAATATTAGATCATGTTTTAACATATGCATCTCAGAAAATATACAAGAAAATCCAAAATGATTAAACATAAAAGACAATACCTTTACCAAATCTTTGCTCCTCCTACTGGATCTCTAACCAGTGTCAGCAATCAAGATTATATTCTCCACTAATCAATTTCCTCTACACCTTGTAATAACCTCACAACCTCTGTGATAAGTATTAGCCACACCAGGTCCCTTACAGTTATAATATGAAGCCCCAGGCTGAGTACAAGGCACAGAATCCCTCTTCAAAGTATCATAACTTATATACTTCTTCTGTATAACCAAAATCCTCCGATTAGTCTCTGAATCCATCTCCTCCTCAACTGCCATTTCTGGGCACTCATTGATACAAACCCTTTTCCCCATTTCACCAGATTCAACAGTTCTCGTTAAGTTTAGGTCCAAAGTTGAGACCCCATCACAGAATTTCACCAAGAAAAGTAGTGCTAGGATCAAGAAATGTGCGCACGAGGACATGTGAATTTTGGGCATTTTTTGGTGAAGTTTCATTCTCATTTTGTTAGTGTTGTCATTTGATGTGAGCAGTCAAAGTGAGATATTTGTATGAGAGTCCGTGTGTGTATGTGAGAAATGGCAGTGAGATTGCTTCGGGTTGGAGATAGGTGGAGGGGTCATTAATGAATAATGATATTGGAGTC